TGGTGCCCAGCAGATAAGCCCATCACTGACCCTCCAGTGCAGGGAGGTGTTATCCCAGCAGTCCCCCCAGCTGGCATCTGTGCCTGGCTGGTTGTGCTGTGCCCCTCTCCACCCGCCTGCTGCTTCCCTCGGCAGGTTCCTCTGTGGCACTGTCAATGACTTTGTGGCTGAAGTCGGCCGGGCTTACAAGAGGGCAACGGAGAACAAGCAGGAGGCCGAGATGATGGCACGAAAGGTGGGTTGCAGGGGAGCTGGAGGGCTGGGGTGTGCTGGGTGGCACAGCACCCAGGCAGTGGAGGGGCTGGCGGGGTCTGCTCCGGTGGTCCGTGCCCTTGCTGTGGATGCATCGGGGTGTGCTGTGCTTGGGGTGCCCAGGCACTTGGGATGTCCTGGCAAGCATGGGGTACCCAGGCACTTGGGGTGCTCAGGCAAGCATGGGGTGTCTAGGCACACGGGGTTCCTAGTCAAGCATGGAGTGCCTAGGCAAAGATGGAGTGCCCTCGTGCTCCAGATGCTCAGGCACTACAGGTGCCCAGGCAAGCGTGGGGTGACCAGGGAAGCACCCACCACTGGTGGTGGGCAGCGGCTTGTGCCAGGGTGCTGAGCATGGTGGGCGGCCTGCAGTGCGCCATGCTGAACGAGAAGCTGGACTCACTGGTGCGGGAGCTGAACGAGGAGGCTCAGGCCATCGTGGTCCCTGAGGGAATGGCGCAGGCCACCCCTGCCGACATCAAGGACCAGGAGAAAGGTGGCAGCTTCAACCCCAGCCCTGTGCCTCGCATCTTCAAATCCAAGGAGCAGCTCATGCTGCGGGCGAACAGCCTGAAGAAAGCCCTGCGGCAAATCATTGAGCAGGCAGAGAAAGGTGAGGGGGTGGTGGGGGCTGGCAGCTCGCGTGGCACTGCAGCAGCCTGGCACGGGCTGCAGAGCCACTGCAGCTTGGTGCTGGACCCGTGCCTTGGTTTCCTCATCTGAATCCTTGGGGTGGCAGCAGTGCTGTGCAGTCCAAGGGCATCAGCCCTTCTCTGATGCTTGGTGTGGCTGAGGGAGGTCCCCAATGTGAGGCAGAGGTGCCACCCTGAGCCCTGCCTGGCATGAGCCCCCAAGGCTGACCCCGGGACAGGGGAGGGCAGGGCCATGGTGCTGCCCAGGACTTGCTGTCATGCCCCTCTTTGCATCCAGCTGTGGATGAGCAGAACAAGCAGACCCAAGCCTACCGGGGCAGCGCGGGCCCCAGCAGGAAGGACAGCTCAGAGGAACTCAGCAAGGAGGAGGAGAGGCTCAGTAAGATGCCAATAGGGCATGTGGCTTTTTCGGGGGGCATGGGGGTGAGCCGTGGGATGGGCTTAGGGTAAGAGCCAGTTCAGCAGCTGCCTCCTCTCCCTGGCCAGGCTCCCGGCGGGAGACGGTGACCTCCGCATCTTCCTCCATCATCCTGGACCGGCCGGACACCTTTGGCAGCTTGCAGTTCCCCGAAGACCCCAGCACCCTGTGAGTCTGGGGTCCTGCCTGCCCCGGGGCCCCTGGCCCACCCTTGCTGCCCATCATGGAGTGGGAGCAGAGCTGGAACCACACTGCCTCTTGGAGATGCCTGCTGGGGCATCCTATGCCCACCGGTGTGGCATCCCTGGTGCCCAGCCCTCCCTGGCCCTGTGGTGCCTGTGCCAGGGAAGCCTGCATGTGCCTGGTGCAGGATCTCTTGCTGCCAGTCCTTGGCCAGCATTGTGCTCATGCTGGGAGCTCAGGGCTCCCCCCTGTCCAGTGCAGGCAGGTCCTGGGTGCGCCATGGTGTCCCACCATGGGGACTGAGGGGGGTCCAGCCATCCCTGCTGCCTTGGGTCAGGATTCCCAGTGCCAACCCCTCTGGGAGCTCACACCACAGCTCCAGCGGGTTTTATACCCCATCCCCTGGTGCCAGCCCAGCAGCTACCCATGTGCAGCTGCCTCCCAACTCGCCCGCCCTGTCTGCCACTTTCAGCCACTTCTCGGAGAAATGCGTCATGAATAACTACTTCGGCATCGGCCTGGATGCAAAGATCTCCCTGGAGTTCAACAATAAACGGGATGAACACCCCAAGAAGTGCAGGTTGGCTGACCCCCCCCCTGCAGATTCCCCTGGGAAAAACATGTAACACCCCTCCCCCCCAGCTCTCCAATGCTGGCACCAGGAGGGACCGTCAGGATGCCGGGAGCCATGGGGTTGGCTTGGGGCTGCTGTGCCTGCCTGGGGACCCCTTGCTGCGGCAGGTTTTCCACCTGCACCCAGTGCTGCAGCGCTGGGGTGAGCACCCCTGGGTGGGTGGCAGATTGCAAACACCCCCAGGAAGGGGGAGGGCTGCTGCGAGGCTCTGGCTTCTGATGCCCCCTGCGTGTGTGAAAGGGCATAGGAGGGCTTGGTGGGATTTACCCACTCTGCACCTGGATAGAGGAGACATTGCCATGCCAGCATGGAAGGGTGCATGTCTGGGTGCCACATGCTGCAGCCTGCATCTACCAGGAGTTAGTGGGCAGCCCCCCTGCTCTGGGAGTGGGGAAAGTGAGGCAGGCACAGGGCCAGCGGTCCAGGCCGGCTGTTCAGCCCAGTGCCCCAGGGTGGACACAGAGCCTGCGACAGGCAGGGGGGAGCCCACAGGCCCTCTCACCCAGCCCACTTTGCCCTGCAGCAGCCGCACCAAGAACATGATGTGGTATGGGGTGCTGGGCACGAAGGAGCTCTTGCAGCGTACCTACAAGAACCTGGAGCAGCGGGTGCAGCTGGAGGTACGGGGCTGGGAGGAACAGGGATGGGGTGGGGGGAGCAGCGGCGCAGTGGCCCCCCACGCTCAGCCCTCTCTTGCAGTGTGATGGGGTGCCCATCTCGCTGCCCAGCCTGCAGGGCATCGCTGTCCTCAACATCCCCAGCTACGCCGGGGGCATCAACTTCTGGGGAGGCACCAAGGAAGACAATGTGAGTGCCACCACCGTGGGGTGGGAAGGGGGGCATGACGTCCTTCCCACAGTCCCAGGGAACCTGGGAGCCCTCGGGCAGGGGTCTAGGGTGTGCCTGATTTGGGCACACACGGGGGGGGGAAAAGCTAGGTCCCAAAACGAGCCTGGTCTTACTTGTACTGGTCCTCTACAGAACTTTGGGGCTCCATCCTTTGATGACAAGAAGCTGGAGGTGGTGGCTGTCTTCGGCAGCATCCAGATGGCCGTGTCACGGGTCATCAACCTCCAGCACCATCGCATCGCGCAGGTACGGGGCAAGGGACCCTGCGGGACCCTGCATGGTGCTGGAAAGCTTTTGGGGCACCAGCAGAGCCTGGGGCGATGCAGCTCAGCCAGGCTCCTGGCTGGCACTGGCATGGTGCTGGGAGGCTTTTCAGCCCTGGCACAGCAGCTGAAGCCAGTAGTGCAGTGCCAGCTGTGATGCCAACTCCAGGCTGTCCACCCCACAGTGCCGCGTGGTGAAGATCACCATCCGGGGGGATGAGGGCGTTCCTGTGCAGGTGGACGGAGAAGCCTGGATCCAGCCGCCCGGCATCATCAAGATCCAGCACAAGAACCGAGCCCAGATGCTGACAAGGGACCGGGTGAGCTTGGGGGTTGCACAGCTCGTGCAGCGGGGCTGTGCTGGGGCATGGGGAGGTGTGACAGGCTGAGGGGGCCATCTCCGTCCCCGCAGGCATTTGAAAGCACCCTCAAGTCCTGGGAGGACAAGCAGAAGGGGGAGAGCTACCGAGCAGCCACCCGGCCGCGGCTCAGCTCCCAGCAGTCCATGGAGTACCTGACTGAGGAGGAGAGCAGCCTCTTGCAGCAGGTCTCGCAGGTTGCTGAGACTCTCATTGCCAGGTCAGGCTGCGGGATGGGGGATGTGGTGGGCACGAGGGGGTAGGGCGGGGGGAGCTTTGCTGTGGCCACCCAGAGCTACAGGGGTCTCCTAGTCCTGTGCTGCCTCTCGAGGCCAGGGGAGCCCCGGCAGCTCCAGCCCCTCTCGCCCACAGGATCCATGAGGCAGCCAAGGCTCACAAAGCTGTGGAGCAGGAGCTGGCACACGCTGTCAACACCAGCTCCCTGGCGCTGAGTGAAGCCCTCTCTAACAAAGCCACTGGCACCTCGGAGGTGAGCTAGGGCTGGGGGTGCAAGGCAACCTTCACCTAGCTGCCCTGAAGCCCGCTGCTCAAGGGGGTCACCCCTCCATGTCCCCCAGTTTCTCAGCAGGA